GTTCCCGCTCACTGGCTGAGCGAGGTGCGGGTGCAGCACCGAGGGTTGCGATCCCGGTGCCGGTCCCGGTCCGGTACGGGCGCGACACTGAGGGTTGCAATCCATTGCCGGACACGAAAAAAGACAAAAAGGAAAAAAAAAAAAAAAAGTCAGTTTCTTTTCAGTTTTGCACCACCTAGTTCGGGCACTATTTCCCCTAATCTGCAGCACCAATATTGTTCCTAACTGTCTGTCTATTCCCACTCTCTCTCTCTCTCCTGTAGTCTATGTAAACTTTGTTAAGAGACCTGTACTTCTCAAAATCCTCCACTGGCTTCCAACCATCAAACCAACCTTCTAATCAACCTTAGTATTAACTAGCCTTTGCAGAATCAACATCCACCACACCCCACATGGCCACACAGCATGAAAGTACAGCTTCCAAGGCTGGCTGGTTAGCTGAGTTGGTTAGAGCACCGTGTTATAACACCAAGGTTAAGAGTTCAGATGCCCCTACTGGCCACTCACCCAAAAAACAAAACAAAATAAAATGGTGTTAAAGTACAGCCTCCAAGTCTCTTCACGCACTTCTCTACCCTTGGAACACTGTGAATAAGGTAAGAGCTGGCTTTTAAGAAAGCATTTGTCTAAAACAAAGAAAAAGCACTGAAATGGGAAAATAAAGAGCAGAACTAAAGAATACAAAAGAGAAGTGTGCACTTTTTGGTGCTTCGATTTTGAAAACAGATTAATAAATTCTAATAATTTTACTCATCTGTCCTCAGACAGGAAGTTCCTGGAAATCAAAAGCAGGGTGAATTTGTAGAAACACCCTACAGTACATAAATGGGTTAAGTACCCCTTTACCCTCTGTATCTCACAATATCTCTTCCTTGGTGTCTAAGGACTCAGACACTCGGGGCCGGCCCGTGGCTCACTTGGGAGAGTATGGTGCTGATAACACCAAGGCCACGGATTTGGATCACCTTACCAGTAATCTTTAAAAAAAAAAAAAAAAACTCAGACACTCGACAATCATTTGACACGTGCTACCTACCACAACGTCAGACACCAAAGGAGGCAAAAAGAATAAGACAAAGACCATATCTTCCAGGAACTTACAACCTGGTCTGGAGTGTTGGTGGTTGCACATGCAACAGTGCTAATGGACACTTTAGTGAACAGTATCTAAAAGGAGGCACAAGAAAGGAGCAGTCAGATGGAAGAAGCAAGACACCTGAGTAGGGTGAAAGGAGAGAAACATCCCAAGAGGGAACATCCCATCCAAAGGCAAGGAGATGTACAACATGGCCCATCAGAACCTTGATGATCCACAACCAAGAGCACTTTTATGATCTCGGAGCTTGTAAGAAATACAGAATTTCAGTCCCTTGCCTAGCCCTACAAAATCAGAATGTGTGTTTTAATAAGATCCCCAAGGAATCGTGCTCACTATAGTTTGGGAAGCCCTGCTGTAGAACACTTCAAAGCAGTAGTTTGGTATGGCTAGAACACAGGATGCCATGGGAAGGAACACATAAGAGGTGAGGCTGCAGAGGTATCTCCAGCTCACAAAGCACCTGTTCTAAAGAGTCTGGACCTCATTCTGGAACCGGTGGGATCCACCACAGTGCTTAATTGTAAATAGGAAAACAACAGGATCAAGTACCAGGGAAACTAAGGCATTATGATGGGAGTTAGAGGAAGAGATTCATCCCAAATAAAGTAATCTAACGAATTCCCATGTCTCCTTCATTTCCTCACTTTTTGTTCATTCTTCTACCCACTGCAATCACACCACTGGCAAAGGCCAGTATCTTACTTATTAACTCTTTATTGTATATTTTAAATTTAAAAGCTCATGTGCTTTGAGGAACAATTGTAAAATACAGGAACAAAAACAATAAACTAGGGCCGGCCCGGTGGCGCACTGCTACAGTGCACCGCTTGGGAAGCGTGGTGGCGCTCCCGCCGAGGGTTCGGATCCCACATACAGACTGGCCGCTCACTGGCTGAGCGAGGTGTGGGAGCAACACCAAGGGTTGCGATCCCGTTGCCGGTCCCGGGCCGGTACGGGCGCGACACTGAGGGTTGCGATCCGTTGCCGGTCACGAAAAAAGACAAAAAGGAAAAAAAAAAAAAACAATAAACTAAAAATCACCCTTAATTCTGGGCCGGCCTGTGGCTCACTTGGGAGAGTGTGGTGCTGACAACACCAAGCCAAGGGTTAAGATCCTCTTACCCATCATCTTTAAAAAAAAAAAAAATTACCCTTGGGCCGGCCCGTGGCTCACTCGGAGAGTGCGGTGCTGATAACACCAAGGCCCGGGTTTCGGATCCCATATAGGGATGGCCGGTTCGCTCACTGGCTGAGTGTGGTACTGACAACACCAAGTCAAGGGTTAAGATCCCCTTACCGGTCATCTTTTAAAAAAAAAAAAAAAAAGGGCCGGCCTGTGGCTCACTCGGTAGACTGCGGTGCTGATAACACCAAGGCCATGGGTTCGATCCCATATAGGAATGGCCGGTTTGCTCACTGGCTGAGCGTGGTGCTGACAACACCAACTCAAGGGTTAAGATCCCCTTACCGGTCATCTTTTAAAAAAAAAAAAAAAAAAATTACCCTTAACTCTATTACCCAGAAAGAGCCATTGATATATATCCTTCTAGTCATTTATGTATGTGTGAAATGTTATTTAATTTTTATAAACGACATCTTAATTACCGAATCCACTTTTTAGGCCTTGACCTCTGGCATATTACTATGTCCCCCAGATTTCCCCTCATGAAACCCTTTTCCTGGCATTGCTGACATCCCTCTTTCCTCTTCTTTTTAGAATTTTTCTCACTTGCTTTGTTCCTTCCTTTTTCCTTTGTTCATCTATTAAATGCTGATGTCCTTGGGTGTTTTGCCCTTGGTCCTTTTATGTTTTCTCACTTTTTTCATTCTCCTTCGGTTGACCTCTTCCATTATCTGCGTATTTCTGAAACTTCTCAAGTAAATGCAGAATCCTGGGAAAGGTTTTATTTTTCAGGTGGGAAAGATGTGCGCATGCTTATAGGCTGTGAGATAGACTGTACAGAAAGAGTGTTCAGAGTCCAGGAGAACGAGGGAATAAATACCTCTTTATTGCCTGTTAGGATCTGAGCACACAGTGGTGAACAAGACAAAGTCCTGCTCTCATGTGGCTTACTTTCTACTGAGGAAACAAACAGAGAACAAATAAGTCAGTAATAATATAAGACAAGTGAGATGTGCCATGAATAAAACTAAAATATGGTAATGTAGTTTTTTAGACTGAGGGTCGAAGTAAGGCTTCTATGAAGAGACAACATTTAAGTTTAGTCCTCAATGACAAGAAAACAACTTTACAATGATAAGGGGGAATAGCTTTTTACCTCTATTTTACAGATAATGAAAATGAGGTTCAGACAGGTTAGATAAGATGTCTAAGATTATGCAACAAGTAAATGGAACCTGGGTCTGATGAACACAGACCAATACTCTTTCTAAATTGTGTTCACTGTTTATTCAGTTTTCCTCAAATGCAACAATGAAGATGAAATATACCAATGACACTCCTCTGGCTTCACAAGGATGCTCAGTACTGGCAAAATAAGAGTAATTGGCCTACCTTTCTATAAAGAAACTCCTTGAAAGCCTAGAAATGTATTTCTGTGAAAGCAGAGGCATGATTTCTGAAGATTAACTGTTCAGGCCTAATAAGAAAACACATGCAGGCTCCAAATTACAAGTAGACTACATTCCAAAAATTTATAACTAAGTTGTTACAAAATCATAAAACATTTCCTCCATATAATATTACACAGAGATCACGTTTCCAGACTGGTCCCTGAAGGTCCATATAATCATAGTTATTACTGTTGTACTAACTAAAAAGGCACTTACTACGTATCAAGTCCTATATTAAGTGTTTTATATAGACACTCTTGCCATACTAACAACATTATTACCACTCCCATCTTACAGCTAAGAAATATGAGGCCTAGAGATGTCACCTAACTTACCCAATAGCATACTGCAAATAAATTGAGCCTGCAGTCCAGCCCAGCCTATTCCAGACCCTTAGCTCTTAGTTCTTATGCTAGCTCCCAAAGTACCTTTATTTATAAGCACTAATCTTTCAAAATCAGTTTCCCTCCAATGCCAAAACCTCAGCCCCCATCACCTTTTCTCTGGTGGTCAGAATTCTACCCAAACAAACACTTTCATCAACCTTCCTTATCCCGTCCCCTCAAAAGTCTATACCAAACCTGACTCCCGATAAACCTCAATCCATGAGGGCATCCATTCATAAAGGTATTTATTCACACATTTGACACCCAGTGAGAGTTTAACTTGCCTTTGCATCCCCAGATCCCAATAGTGCCTTGCATGTGTTCACTTACTCATTCAACATTTATAGATCATACTATGACAATTCACAACCCAAACGCCTTCGTGTAAGTACTGAAGGAGAAATCAAGAAAATACCGGCAAAAGCCCAAACTAGTCATAATCAAATGTCCAGCTCTAAGCTATCCCTAGTTCATCCAAAACTCCCAAAACAACCCCCCTCCAAAAAACACCAAAACTCTCGAAACCTAAATACTAAAAGGCTACTGATTACCAACAGTGACCTCACACGGGACAGCACCCAAGCCGGCCAATCTTAAGGAGAATACCAACCCACCCCACAGCAGCCTTCAAAGCACCCCCTCCCCCCACTTCATTGGCCATCGGTAGCCCAAGGGCAGGAAAACCCAGTTCGAGCTGCCGAGAGCAAGATTCATTCAACCCGGAAAGAAGCCGTGCCCGCGGCCATGACCTTCTGAGAGCGCTTAACCCTATCACCTGAAAACCTCGGACGGAGAGCGTGGGTCCGAAGCCCAGGGATGCTTGGTCCTGGGGCGGCGAGCAGCATGGTGAGGCCACAGGCGGGACCCAGCCTCCGCTAGCGCCAACGACCCCAGGGACCCCCGCGCTGCAGCGTGGCTGGAGGAAGGGCCTGGGTACTCACCCGCCGACAGGCCCGGCGCGAGCGGCAGGCGGGCATGGGGCAGCGTGCCGCCGGCACGGGCCGCCCGCGAGGAGACGCAGGGAAAGCGGGAGACGCGAGGCTGACCCCGCGCGGAGGAGCCACCGGGCAGGTCTCAGCAAGGCTGCCATTACTCGGTCGTCCCCACAGCAGCATGCACGTTCCGCCAGAAGGCCAGGAGGAGCACGTGACCGCGGGGTCGCCCGACGTGGGCGAGACCAAAGGCCAGGCGTGCCAGATCTAGGGGCAGGCAAGGGCCGTTTTCCGTTGGAAGATGACAAACTCTACTTCTGTGGGGAGACAGGAGCCCCATACAATACTGAGATAAAAAATAGTGCTTTATTTATTATCAAAGGCGTTTCTTTCTCCGTCTCATGCCCCTCATCTCAGTATGTTCAGTCTCTGCACCCCTGTGCTTTTCAGTTGGTACAGTCGCAAGAGGTCGACTCCTCCCAGGTTGGCGTGGGGGCTTGCAGGAGGCCAACTAGGAAGAACACCGGGAATACTCGAGAAGGGCCGACTGTGAAGATCCCGGAGTATGGGACGATTGGCGTTCCCGAGAGCGGAGGTTGCCGCTTACTTTCAGCGGTTTGTTCTCGGCGCCGAAGTTGCCGCTCTCACTGATAGGAACGTGCCGTAGGTTTGAGGAATGTGGGCCAGAGGAAATGTCAGGACCTTGACACGGTGTTGGGGCCTCCACGATTAAACGGTGTGATTTGTATTATTGGGACCTGGGAGTACGCAGGCCCAGCCCTAAATGCGTACGCAGTACCTCGCCTTGCGAAATAGACGGGTACTAACAAAGGTCGTGTGGTTTGAAAGCAAGAACGGAACTCCTTTTTCCAACCCTCCCTCCCCTAGCCCGCCCCTCCTTTCAGTAAAAGCCCCGGTATAGGAGGTAAGAAAACAATGTAATTAACGACTTCAGCTAAGTCTGGGAAGCAAACAGTAGGCAAGTTCAACGTGTTGCCGCCTCACAGGGCTTCCATACCGGAAGGGTTCCCTGTGCACACGTGGGACGCCTGAAACAAGTTTCCGCTCCTTCCTCGCCTGGCTGTGTCCTGCGGGTCCCCAGGGGAACGAACACTCAGATGTTTCCTCCGAGGCCCTCCCGTGGTAGTTTCCCGTTGGACTGTTTGTTTACCCCCACAGCAGCCTTCAAACTTCTTGATCACAGATATTGTAACCTCTTATTGTAGCCGAAGCACCTACCCTGTGCCAGGCACACAGTAGGTTGCATTAAATATTAATCGAATTAATGTGTATTTTGAGATTACTTAGCTCACCACTCTGAGATGGGGAACCTGAGACACCCCCCCCCCCCCTCCCATTAAATGATTTACTTTGCGTTATACCACTGGGCATTAGGAATATAATTTATTCACTCATTTAACACTTATTTATTGAACACATATTGAGTGTCAGACACTATTTGAGATCTTGGGGATACAGTGGAGAACAAAACTGACCAAGTCTGGACTCTGATTAAGCTCTCCAATGTTTAGTTTGGAAAGACAGAACTGTGACCTAAATCAGGGTAAAAGGATTGAGAGTGTCCTCGAGTGTGGGATAGAGTGGTGAGTTGCTACTGTAGATAGGATGGGTCAGGGAAAAAAGCCTCTTTATCGACACCATGCTCTAACGGATTAAGTAGCTGGCCAGCCCAGGAAAAGCAACAACAAAAACCCTCTAAAGTTACCATTTGAACAGAGACTTGAAGGAAGGAAGGGAGCCCAGAGGAATTTCGAGGGGGGGTGAGGGGGTTCCAGGTTTAGAGAACAGCAAATACCAAAATCCTGAAGCAAGAACAAGTGTAGCCCATTCAAAAAACAGTGAGGAGGAATCATGCAGGATGTTATAGACAGACTTAAGGACTTTGACTTTAATTCGGAATGAGATGGGAAACTATTGGAAAGTTTGGTGTGTAGCTGTGGTGTGAACCCATCTGCATTTTTAAAGGGTCACTTTGGCGGCTGTTTGGAGAGGAGATTTTAGGGGAATAGGATAAATAAAAGCAGGGAGACCAGAGATTATCTGCAGTAATCCAAACTAGAGCTGATGGTGGCTTGGACTAGGTGGTGGTAGTTGAGATGATTAGAAAAGGTCAGGTTCTCACTTTAAATAGTAGAACCAAGAGGATTTATTGATAGATTGGCTGTGGGGTGTAAGTCAAAGACGACTTCAAACTTTTTGGCCTGAGCAACTAGAAAAATGGAGATGGCACTGATTTAAATAAGAAAGACTGAGGGAGAACCAAATTTAAAAGGTGAAATAAAAGTGATCTGGAATATTAAACTTGTGCCTGCTAGACATCCAAGCATCAAGTTTGAGTATATGACATACGAGTCTGGAGTTCAGGTAAAAAGTCAGGGCTGGAGATGTATTTGGGAGACTACAGCCTGTACTTAATATTTGAAGCTACAGAAATGGCTGAAAGCATCTAGGAAGAAAATGTAGATAAGAGATGAGATCCAAGGACTAAGGCTTGTGACATTTCAATATTTAGAGATGTGTAGATGAAAATCCAGCAAAGGAAACGAAGAATAGCCAGAGAGGCAGGAGGAGAACCAAGAGCATAGTGGGGTCCCACATAACGGAGTGAGAGAAGTTCTTCAAGGAGGGAATGAATTATCAACCACATGAAATGCTGCTGTTAGTAATTATAGAATAAGCACTTGAAGGGAAAGTGAAGGAAAATGGTCAGGGCCCCTCAGATGTTCAGAATCTTGCGGAGCATTTGATGAAATAGGCACGTGCGCCCAGGTATCCTTTGGTTATTATCTAATGTAATTGCATATGGGCACCTAGGTGCACTGGGCTATGGACTTAAGTATAAAGGATTAACGGCTCTGATACACGGTGCCCCTCAAGACACTCCAGGAGGCCACTAGGCTGGCTGCTCCTAGTGCTGAATAAAGCTTATTAATTTTTTACCCACGGCTCCCAGGATTTTTCCTATTACCTAGCTCGTGGACCTGCATGTGAGGGGTTTGTGATCCAGTCTGTACAATGGGCTTGAAGGGTTTGTGAACCCTAAGCCCTAGATTGACAGCACTCAACAATGATCATAGGATTTGGCAACTCAGAGGTCCCTGGTGACCCTAAGAATAACCATTTTTGTGATATGTTGAGTCAAAGGATTGATTGAAGTGAGTTTAAGAAAATGTGGAAAAAGGGGAAGTGAGGGCAGAATACAGACAAACCTTTTGTACAATATACTGTGAAGGAGAGAGCAGAGAAATGAAGTGGTATCTAGATGGGGTGTGAAGTCAAGAGACGTTTATTTCTTTTTAAGATGGGAAAAATAACAGTATGTTTGATGTTGATGGGAATTATCCATATGTGACTAATTTAAATTAAATTAAATTTTAAAAATTCAGCTTCTTAGTCAAATTAGCTACATTTCAAGAATTCAGTAGACACAAATGGCTAGTAGCTACCATATTGGACAGCACAGTAGAGGACATTTCCATCATTGTAGAAAATTCTATTGGATAGTGCAGTACGGAGTAAAATATTGACATGTGTAAGAGAGAGAGGCCAGTTTGCAAAAGTACTTAAACTGGTTGTTTTCCTTATGTCTAAAACTGGTGATACTTATGCCTTCCTCCAGGATTTTTTGGAAACATCAGATAAAATAAGTAAGGTACTTACATTGTCAGGCACATAGGAAGCTGTGAAAAATAATGTAGATATAATTACTGTTGTTGCTTTTCATGATCAAGTCTAAACCCCATGAATTTGGGTTCTTCTCCAGTCTCTCCTTGGGGTCTGACTTTTGACACCAACATCTTCACTGCCTAGTAACCTATAGACAGTGTCTCAAACTCCTGATTCAGGCATTCAGTTAACTACTTAGTGTATGTAAAGCACAGGGAAAATTGCATTTCAAGATAAAGAAGTTATGCCTACTACACTTGATGAGCTTAGTTTATAGGAAAGGATAAAACACATATTGTCAGCAGGTAACCATTACACAGGGCAGTGTGACGAGCGCAACAAAGAGACAAACCAAGTGCCAGCGGGGTAGGAAAGGAGAAGAAGGTTCCATGGTGGGAATAGCATTTCAGCCCTTAGAGGCTAGGGACGATGTAACATAGTAGAGAGGGTGGCAAGGGAAGTTTCAGGCAGAAGGAACAGAAAGAGCAAAGAATCAGAGCTCTTCTCCCTGTACCATACATTCCTCCTTAAACTGCGGAAAGTGGTTTTGGAACCCGAACTCCCAGAGGTATCTGCCCAGAGTTTATCGAGTAAAGGAGAGTGATGGAGTTTGGATGTGTTGTTACCTCCAAAACTCATGTGGAAATTTGATCTCCAATGTGGCAGTGTTGGAAACTGAGTCATGGGGTTGGATCCCTCATGAATGAATTAATTCTCTCCCTGGGAGAGGGGGATTTAATGAGTGAGTTCTCGCTCTATTAGTTCCAGTGAGGGCTCGTTGCTTAAAAAAACCCTGGCACCTTCTCTCTCTCTCTCTTGCTTCTCTCTCTTGCTTCCTCTTGCCATGTGATCCGATTGTACCTGCCGGCTGCCTGCCACTTTCTGCCATGAGTAGAAGCAGCCTGAGGCTAATGCCAGATGTAGCTGTCCCAGAATCGTAAGCCAAGTAAACCTCTTTTCCTTATAAGTTACCCAGTCTCAGGTATTCTGTTATAGCAACACAAAACAGACTAAAACAGAGGATCACTAACCCAGTAGCTTTCAAGACTATGACCGATAGTAAGAAATACATTTTATAGGGCCGGCCCGTGGCTCACTCGGGAGAGTGCGGTGCTGATAACACCAAGGCTACGGGTTCGGATCCTATATAGGGATGGCCAGTTGGCTCACTAGCTGAGCGTGGTGTTGACAACACCAAGCCAAGGGTTGTGAGATCCCCTTACCAGTCATCTTTAAAAAAAAAAAAAAAAAAAAAGAAATACATTTTATAGATGATACAAGTACACACATACAAAAGGGAATTTCATGAAGCAGTAATTAGCCTTACTACATGTGATTCTGTATTAATCCGTTTTTGTTGCTTATAACAAAGTGCACTGAACTGGGTAATTTATAAAGAAAATGAAATTTATTGCTTATAGGTTCTGAGGCTGGGAAGTCCAAAGCCCAAGGGGTCTCACATTGCAAGATGGTGGAAACAGAGAGAGCAGAAAGA